AGAGAGAGAGAGAGAGAGAGAGAGAGAGAAAGAGACCGGGGAACGTGAGGATACGAGGAGCGAGCGAGATCGGGCCCGAGAAAGAGGAGACCGCCGCGCCGGCACGGTCTTCCTCTCTTGGACCTCTCTCGGACCCGCGGCTGGACCCGAAGGACGTGAAACACGAGAAAAAGGCAGAAAGACGAGAAAGGGCAGACCACAGGGTAGGTGGTATCCGGATTTGTCAATTTTTTTCTCCAAAGCCGTTTATTACAAATAATAAACTCGGAATCGATGTCCAGATGACGATGATCGGGTACGATGGTCGATACTCGCTTCCGGCGGCCATGATCGACCGCGATTAGACGCGTCGGTCTATGCCATTGCACGACGATGCCGCGTAATGAGAATATTCCGACGTTAATCCATTTCAGCTACTAATTACGCGCGATCGGCACCGATAACGAAACCGATAACGCCCGACTGAGAGAATCCATTTTCCCAGTTATGGAAATGAAAGAGAACTCGATAAGAGGCGTCCGCGGTGCGTGATGTTAGATATATGGGAAGGGATGGATCTTTACGAACCGAGGAGAATCGAGAACCCGTTTTCGAAGACGATCGAGAGACGACGAGTTTCCTGGCGGCGGCGGCGGCGACACGGCGTGTGTATTCGAGAAAACGGGATTGCTCGTAACGCCTCCTCCGCGCGGTGTTCACCACGTGAACAGAGAGAGGTCCGAGAACGAGCTCGAAGAATAAGTGTGTGTAAACATAATGGCAGAAATAACGTCGAGCGGGAGAGTCGATACCTGTCGGAGGAATTCGCGTTCGTTTTTATTGGCCTCGCGGAACGACGAGCGGCAAGCGGGTTGCATCGGTTCGACTCGCAGCGACTGTGCCGCGCGGCGATTTCACGTGCGAGTAGTCGCGTTGATTCGTGTGAAAAAAGAAGGCGAAGCGTGAGCAAACGTAATAGCAGAAACACGACGCGCCGCACCGCGCCGGCTACCGAGCAACCAACCACCGCGAACCAACGATCGCCGTTCCGTTCTTTGCCGACATCGTTCGAGATAACCCCGGCGCGATCCAGGCCTGTGTAATAGGTATAAACAGTACATAATTTATCGCGAGTCTGTGCCACTCTCAGCCGGCCGAACGGATGAAACGTTGGAAACGTTCCGCCTAACTGTACGTGAACGCGAAATATCGTCGAACGTCGATGAAATTCCACGATATTCGAGATAAGGATAACTTCGATTTAAACAGTTTATTATCCGTCACGTGCATCGTTCGCAGATTTATCGTCACGAGCAGGCCCCGACGAACCGTCAACGTCTACGTGGAAAAGTCCTCGCCGTCGTATCGATACTATTGTCGCGTTGTTGCCGCAAGAAACTGGCT